CCAGGCACTGGGAGGTCACACAGAGATGAATAATCCACAGACTTTCCTTGTGTGCTGTCTAGTGGGGGACTGATGGCCACATGCCAGGTAGGACAGGGTTGGGGGAAGAATTTATTCTGCTTGGGAGTAGCGTATATGTGTGGAAAGAGAGAGAGAAAGAGAGAAGTGTCACAGAGACTTAGAACGGCAAGATGGAAGTGGAGAGAGGAAGATTTCAGGATAGTAAATCAACCAAGTGATGATAAGTGCATACTTATTTTATTATTGAGTAAATTGAAGTATCTTTCAATATGGAGTTCCATTTTATGCAATCCATACCTGTTCAGTAGTCACCACCAGCAGATCAATGTGAAAACATGAGGCTATGTTACAGCCATCATTGCACTGTTCTGGGCGCTCTACCCATAGCTAGCAAGAAAGACAGTGCTCTGACACCTATGGTAAGAGGGAGGACATCGTGAGACAAATCCACCATCACAGAAATCCAGACTGGGTTTTCTTTCATCACTTCTGAAGTTCTGTGAAAACTGACTCTGACATTAAATGGAAAGGTTTCCTATGAACGGACTCACAAGGCTATTTGTGACCTTATGGGTTGGGTCCTTTCAGAGGTCACTTAGCCTATTTTAACGCTGGCGCCTGGAGCACAGTCACCAAGCCCACATGAAGAGTGTCCCTCAACGGAGCCACAGCTGCTGGCTCCAGCCGTTTCTACCGTCTGAAGAAAATCTCCTGACATGGAAGGCCTTTTTGACACCACCATTTTGAAAGCATCTCTAGTTGGTCATTTATATAAAGATAGCGTGTTCTTATACCAATATTTGAAATCAAATTCTAAAGAGCAATCGTGATGAAAGGTTGTGTGAAAAAATTCTTTCATTTTCTTTTAGACTCTGAGGAGACCTCCTACTGATGATTCCATTCAAATTCTAAATATCAGTGACTAAGAGAGTAACAACACGGGATTGCTCAGATTTATAGAGCCTCACATGAGTGCCAAAACTCTGAGCTGTTTTATGTAGGCTGTAAGAACAAAGGCATCCCATGTGTCTTGAGAATAAGAGTGAAAGTCACGACCCAGTTCCTCCTCTTACTTTTAAAAAATATGACTGAATGGAAAGCCAGATGTGTTCCAGGACGGACCAGCTGACTAACTCTTACTGTTAACATGCACTGTGCAGTTCCAAGACTCCAGGGCAACTGATAAAGGGGATTTGCTGGGTTTTCCAGAAATAAGCTCTGTCCTGTTAAACCTGCTTGCTCAATCTCCGTTCTCTCATTCATGGGGAGTAACAGGATCTGCAATAAACACCACCAGCAAATCTCTGAGGATTATTGAGTTATTTCAGAGACCTTCTAATCATCTACTCTGTACTTTTATAAAATGATTATCAGAAACTGAATCAGCAATTGGAGGAACTGAAAATAACTTCTACTGTAATCATTTCCTGTAAGTAATAACTTCACATATATTGTTGTACAAAAGTCTCCGCTTCTCTGTCCTGACCATATACCATAACATTATGGAATGATTACTCTTAGAATTTTCAATATTCTACATCCTTAACAAAGAGTTTCCCTAGAAGTTGAAATTTCAGGTGCTAGACTCAGCCTGTGTGGATTAAAATCCTGGTTCCACCTGTGGGTAGCTGTGTAACTTTGGGAAAATTACTTAATCTCCCTGTTTTTCAGTTTCCTCATCCATAAAATGGGGTCAATAATGGTGATAAAATGAGAGAAATGCATATATGCGTTTCTATGTGGACGTATGCATATATGAAGAGATCAACTTAGAATTTAGAATGATAAATGCTAACAATTATAATCATTTCAGGGACTCTACACTATTGTAGCATTTCTTTTCCTCTGACTTTATCTGTAGTTAATTAGATAAAAATATTTTGTTGATCATTAGATAGAAAGGTCCTGTGAATATAGGTGTGTTGATGGCATAGTTGGTGGGAAGATGGTCATGAGTCTTTACCGGAGGAGGGAAATGAATGTGAAGTGACCCTGTAAATCAGGTGATATGATATCAATTCCTGCGGGAGTCCCATGACTTAGTCTGTATGCTGCTAGGTAGTATTTTATATCTTAGACATCTTTCCTGATGTCTAGTTGAAATTCTCTAATTGCCTCCTGTTTTGCTCCTCATTCAAAGAGATTCTGGCCAGTAAGTAAAAAAATATATTAGAACATGACTACTTAAAAACAATTATTGTTAGCATTTGTTGATCTCTTTAAAAAAAATCAGAAAATCTAGTTTACTCAGCCTTTTGTCCTAGATTCCAATCCTACACCAAGGGACCCCTCTTCCCTGAGACTGAGAGGGCATCTGCCCCCTGCAGGGCGCTCATGAACCCACAACAGTGTGTAGCACACGGTCGATGCCAAGACAGGCAGGGAAGTGGGTTCTTTACTTTATATTCGGAGACTTCTCTCAAAGATGAAATAGCACTGACCTCCCTTTACCAGATTCAAAATGCACTAAGCGTGGTATGATGAGGTGTTTGATATTATGAGCACACAGTCACAATCTTGAAACAATATATTCTAACATTCAGGGCATATTTGCTTTTGCCATTTCTAAATATTATTCATTCGTTCATTCATTCACTCACTCAACAAATATTTATTGCATGCTAAAAACATGGTGGATTTTCTCATATGCCTTCTGGGCTGCAATGGGATCATGAATCTCTTTCACAGCAGAGACACTGTGTCATGTTCATCTTTCTATGCCAAGGTCAGCGTGTAGAAGATACTCAACCAAGGCAACAAGCACGCTTTGTACAAATGGCAGAATGGGATTGCAAACACTGTGCTAGCTGTGCATGGCCAATGAAGTCTTTATTCCTATGTCTTGATCATTGTTAGGCTTTGAATTTAAGCCGAACATGAATGCAAATGCCATCCCCATGAATAACGTACTTGGCGGCAGTGTTATGTTAGATCTCTCACTTAGATTACGCACATAATTTATACGCTTACACTAAAAAAGAAGATGAAATCAACAACCTATGTAAACTCGTCGAGAAGTCAAGGGTTTTTGGTGGAAACAAAGTAGTTTAAAATAGAATTTCTCTCAAACTAAAACCCCCTTTCATGTAACAAAGGGAAATGAGCAGAGAGGTCCAAACCCGCTGAAGGTTTCAGGGCCAAACATTTTGATGCAATGTGCTCTGCTATAAACTATCCGGCCTTGTTTGGATTTTTATTGCTATATGTTCTCAGTCTATATTCAACTGTGAAAAACACACATAAGAAAAGTGCAAATGGGCAAAATGTTCTTTTCAAGAGCATGGAAGTGAATTTGAGAAAACATATATTAAAGAAACGCTTTGTGTTTTCAGCTTTCCACCCCTATTCTGAGGCCTCCCTTGGCCAGATATGATTAAACATTTATTGAACTAAAGACTCAGCTTACTTGGAGTGAAAACTCTTACGAGCCTCTCAGAGCCACCTCATTTCACTAGCTCGCAAATAAAGTTTCTTTTATGCTCTTTTTCATATGAGAAATGAGGTCTAATTAGAAAGTTTTATAATGGAGACAGTCAATTCCCCAATTCCTTATTTGCTTGAATTACTTTTTAAAGATTGGGGTGTTCACCCTGGCATGGGCACAATCCAGACGCTGTAATCAGCCAGCAATCTGTGCCTCACGCAGGCTGGCGTCCTAACTGCCGGTTTCTGCCATCCACACCTTTTCCGTGGGGTAATACATTTTAATTGGTGCATCTCCGTGAGCCCCTCACATCTCCATCTGGCCAAAGAAACACACTTTTTCAATTCAGCCTCAACATCTTGGCAGTTAACAAGAGGATAGACTTGCCACAATGGGAAATCTTTAAGATGCATAAAATCCTGACAGTGAAGGACTGGGCACAGGTGGTAGAATCGATGCTTTCTGGAGGATGGCTCATCTACAAAGCAGCACTGTGTTCGCAGTGTTAACACTGCTCCCTTGGTTTACCCTGCAATTCCCAAGTAGCGGCAGCGCTGAGAACTCTCTCCTCTCAGAGGGCAAATTAGTGCTGATGAAAAACTCTGTTTTCAATGCCAGCTTAACTTTTTGGATATAGGCTTATTCTCAACCAACTTCCACTCATCAGATTGGGCTGAGTATAACCAGGAGGCAGAATGGTGAAATGGTTAAGAGCATGGACTCCAGGGTCAGATTGGATCCAAATCCTGCTGGTGTTAATTCATAACCAGTGTAACCTTGGGCAGTTACCAAGTGTCTCTGTGCCTCAGTTTCCCCAGCAGTAAAACCGAGATAATATCAGTGCCTTCCTCATAAGATTATGGCAAGGACTGATTAAATGAGATAAGGTGTCTGATGTGTTTAACAAAAGCTTTGGCTCAGATTCACTGACAATTGTTATTTTTAGGCAAGTTGAGGAGACCAAACTCCACAAACAGCAGAAAGGAAGAGGCTGGGATAAATAACCAGCCATGTGGTTATTCCTCAAATAATTCTTTACTCTTTAAATACTTCACTTTTTACACTGTTCCGTCACGAGGCAACAGGTTAGGGGTGACTATGAGATAACGAGGGCTCTAATTCACCAGCAATCTCTGCCTCACACAGACTGGCATCCTAACGGCCAAACATTCACTTAGTTTGTGTGGTCTCATTTTGGTGAGGACAAATGTCTGGAACACTCCATGACAGAATGCTTCTTTTCCTCTAACCCTCAAGGTTACAGAGTGCTTTTAGGACAAAATGGCCCAAACTGATACTCACATCGAGGTAAGAGACTGCTTCTCTCTCCCTGCCAACAGCTTCCCTTTTTCTCACGACTGCTTTGGTGAGATGCCTTTCTCAGTACAAAGCAGAGGGTCTCAGGCACGACTCTGTACTTAGCACAACTTAGGATGTTTATGTAAAAGGAAGGCCAGCTAGCACAGCCCGGCACACAGAGCCCTGTAAACACAGGGGCACTCATGGTTCGGAGCAGCAAGTGTGTGTTGGGGTGTGTGTGTGGGGGGTCTCTCACCAGTGGCTTTCTCAGGGTTGTTGCACATGAAACACTGCCACGCTCCTGCTGTTTCGCTGAAGCCAAACACGTCAAAGAACCTCACTTCTTCCAGATGGAGCTGTACCTGGTCCAGATCCTGTTTCAGGAACACAAAGCACAAAGAACATGAGCTGATCTGCTGGCGACATGGCACCCGGAACTTGGAAAAAGAGGAGGTGATATCAGGATGGCCAGTGTTCAATCTGAGTACCAAGGGCCAAGAGGAAGCCTTGAAAACAACTTGTCCAGCCTTGGAAAAAAGTAGTCAGCTCAAATTCTTCCATGGGAGCACTCGGAAAACAGAGGGAGTGAGCCTGGGCCCAGAACAGGGGGTTGGGGGTGGAGGGCTGAGGCCTCGGAGTTTAATTCTTTTTAAAGAATTTCCTTGCATCTATTAGCAACTCTAGATTTCCTAAAAAGGAGGGATATCTAAATGGCAGTGTGGGTAAAAGAAAGGCTGCTGGGACTTGTCTTTTACTTATATTTTATATAAAATTGGGAGCCAATTACCCATATAATAACATCATTTTTATTACGTTGGCTTCATAGGGAGCTGATGGAAAATATGGAGGACGGGCTTAACCCTGCGACCCTTGGCTTTGACACTGCTTTATTCTTAGGCTTTATCTTAAAAGTCTATGCTAATTTTTTGCGCTATTCTGTAATAGAACTGTATTGGTTTTAATGGAAGGTAATGGCTTACATTATTTATTGGTAAATTAGTTAACGTTGCCCATTCCAAACGGTTGAGTAGAATAGACACACCAAGGAGACTGCCCATGCTTTTTGTGCCCTGTGGCGCCTTGCCAGCGTGCTCCCATGTAAGAGGCAGAGGGGAGAGGTCCAGAGAGGTTCCACTGCACCATAAGTGGATGGAAGACTATTAGCCTAACCCAATTAAGTAGCTCTACCATCCTCCTGGGCTTTCTTATTATGTTAACAACTTCTATCCTTTGGTACAGAGTGGCCAGAACTTCACTCTTAAAAGGTTACGTACTCCTCCTAAGAAGGATTTAATGTTCTTTCTAGTCTTGCATGTGCCCAGCTGACTTATGTGCCTTTGTCCAGCTGTGATTTTAATTCCTTTCTTCTGTCGTACACACTCTTATCTTTGCTACCTATCATAAAAGTTCTTAGTATTCTCAAGAGCCACGTGGTGTAGGCACTGTTTACACTACTTATAATGGATCTGCATAGAGAATGGCCAAGTGGCTACCCAGATTCTATACCAAATACCCATTTCTACATTTTTTTTTTCTTTTTGCCATTTTTGGCTGGGGCTGGGTTTGAACCCATCACCTCTGGCATATGGGGCTGGTGCCTTACTCCTTTGAGCCACAGGCGTCACCCTCTATTTCTATATTTTTTGACAGAGGTGAGAAGTATGCCTGCCTGTAAGATCCTTGAGACAGAAACATAAATATTTCATGCACAGTTGTACCCCAGCACCAGGAATGGATTAACATCATTGGTTTGCAAGCCCGGTACAAAGCCTATTTTCCAACAAACTAGATGAAAATGTGAAGGAAATATTTGGAATTTCCACTCCTTGGGACACAAATACAGGGAGGACAGGAATTTTGCTTGTTATGTTGGCCCCTGAAACCTTAGCACCTAAAGGTGCCCCGTTACATAGCAAGCACTAAACAAATCTTTATGGAGTAATGAAAGGGATACGCTGAGACTAGAAATATATACTTTTCAGAGTCCTTTAATAAGACTATTATGAGCCGTATTCTAGGATCGGATAATTTGAAGGCTTAACATACTGAATGCAGCATTCTGGGTTACTAACGTTTAATACCCTCTCATGGGTAGTCCAATAGGCACTGTATGTATATATAGGAATGTTGTTCTAACAAACGTGATTTTAAATATGTGCACTGGAGATAAAAGGAGACTTTAAAAAAAATACATGCTTTCCAGGATCAAGACTGAAGAAGCACTGGGGAGTTTTACAGGTTTCAAAGGATGAAATCCATATTAAAATTTATGGGGAAAAAGCAGATGTTCATAAATATCAGTTTCAAAACTGCGAAGTCTCTGAAGTCTGTACTTGGCCATTGGCATGCAGCTCACTTCTCTGTTTCCTACACAATTAAGGATCAATTTTTCATTCGCCACAAACACTACTAGCAAACAAAGTACTTAAAATAATACTTAAGGGTGCCTCTATTTTTTTTTTTTGTTGTTGTTGTTGTTCTGAGACCATAAACATCCCAGGTTGTTGCCTATAATTCACATTTGTCTTAGCAAAAAGTTCCTTAAAAAGTTTAAGACAGATGGCAAGCTGCACCCCAGTGTTCAAGTTCTGAAGCCAGAAGCAGCCTTACCTCTTCAGAGAATTTCAGGTGTTGTGCAAAGGGAACTGAGCGAAAAAGAGACACAGCAGTTCTGAAACTCTTGAAGTTGGTAATAATGGCCAACTTTGAATAGAGAGACAGACGAAACACAGAGACTTTCACTTATTTGTAGAAAATCAAAGCAAAAGAAATCGCAAAACAAGCAAGCACAAACCAATAATTACGGATACTTATATTTTCATGGTTTTGACATAATAGTGAGCTTTAAGTCATCATTTTTCTCTTATTTACCTTCTTTCCCCCTTTGGGTTCTGTAGCTCCCCCAAGCCTTGCCCTAGAATTGCTATATGGCTTTTATTTTTTTTAACAAGAGAATAATACTCAATTTGTTTAGAGAATCACAAACTTCCTTTAAGACAATTGGCCTCTGGAAGAGGAGTAAAGATAATTCACATCCAGCTCGGAATCACTCCCTAAAGTACTTCAAGCCTAATGAAATTGTGGCAAACAGACCCTATGTGACCCCCCCCCCCCAATAATTTTCACCTGCTGCTGTTCATCTGTTTTTAAAATCCCCTCCCCTGGAGTGTGGGAAGGACCTACAACTCATTTCCAAATAAGAATATGTCAAAGGTGATGGGACATCAATCCCATTATTATTACACACACAGGGACATCCACGCTGCTTACAGCAGACCCATCTTGCTAACAGATGCAGAGAGACTTTCCTGCTGGCCTTCAAGAAGCAAATTGCCATCTTATGAACTGCAGGGGTCTATGGGTGGCCTATGACACCTAAAGGCAACCTTCAGGTGATAGTCAGTAAGTAAATAAGGTCTTCAATTCTAACAGCAAATAAATGATTTCTGCCAATAACCTGGGTGAGTTTGAAAACAAGCTCTTCCCATTTTAACCTCTGAATCAGAACACAAACCAGCCAAACCTTGACTAAAGCTGGTGAGACCTTGAGTAGAGTACCCAGCTCGCTCACAGCTGAAGTCCTGACCCTCTGACGCTGTGGTGTAATAAATATGCATTATTTTACACTGCTAAGTTGGTGACTATGTGTTACACAGCACTGGAAACTACTACTGAGATTGTGCCTCAAAGACGGAGAGAAAGTGACACCCTGTTGGCCAATTCTCAGTCAAAGTGGTGATTCCACTTAGAGAAGTCACTTTCTTCTGACTACGTTCCAAACCAGGGCTCAATAAAACTTGATGAATATTAAGTCCAAATAATTTCCACTGACTTAATAAAAGATGTATAATCCATAGTAGGTTTGCACTAAAAAGGATTTTCCTGACAAGGATCATTTAGTTCAAGAAAGTTAAAAGTCACCAGAGGGAAAGTGATCTTTTTAAATAGTTGGTTAAATAAACATTTCTTCAGTTTTAGAAAAAAAAAATCATTAATAACAATAGGAATTTGGAAAAACTATATAAAAAATCTAAGGTAGGCAGCATAGAAATATAAGAAGATATTTATAAGATTATTTTGCTGTCAAATCACAGCACGAGTCAACTCCCGTGGATTCTGTAAAAGCCTGTAATGGCCTCTGGGTCTTATAGCCTGGTCTATGTACTGCGAGACGGAACTGTGAAACAATTTTCCAGAAACCAGCGAAAGCATACATCTGGAAGAACTTGGGTTTAGGTGCATTTAAATCCTGTCCTAAAGCTACTTGTGCATAGATACAAAACGTAGAATTGCCTCATGCGCGCGTGTGCTGATAGTTAAGAGCACGACTCCAGGTGTATACTCAAGTATGTTTTAAGACATACAAAAAAGGTTGTTTTGAAAGTCCCCCATATTTTCACATAATTTATATCTTTATCATTATTTCTAGGGCACATACTCTAACTACGTGCCTTCCAGGGTGTGAAACAAACCTACCGAGGGAAGAGAACTAACAGCTCACCTTTATATTATCTGGTACCAGCACGGGGTCTTGTAAGAAATGCTGTATGTCGAACACACCAGCCAAAGAGACGTAGAGCATATCCACGCTATAATTCAATTGTCTGTATCTTCCAATTTCTGAAAGCTATTTCTATTGAATTCAATTTATGATGCTTGAGTTCATAGCACGTGGTGCCAGGAACCGTGGACAAGGAGCTGGAGGCAACGCAGTCCTGCCTTCCAAGGAAGTGCGAAGCTGCCGAAGGAAATGGAAACGCACCTTCACGGGGGCATCCTGTGGTTGTTAATAAGCTTGTTCAGGTGGGACTCCTTTGGTCCTCAACTAGATTAAAGCTCCTTAGCAGGAGGACTGACTTCTCTCTTGTAGCTTCTGAAACTACTTATAATTGCACTTTGCTCATGGTAAATGTTCAATGAATCATTATAAAGTCTTACCAGTTGAGGCACATAGAGCTTATCTCCAATTTATACTAAAAGCAGCATGTAGGTTTTTAATGTTCATGCCTATTCAACTATGACTCTTATGCTTTTCCAGAATATTTTTATTTTTTAAAAATATACCTGCATCTTGATGGTATTCTAAGAACTAAAAATTTTTTTTTAGTTCTAAAATATTACAAGGTACAAATGTTTTTGGTTACATGTATTGATTTTGTTATACTTGAGTCAGGGTTCCAAGTGTGCCCACTATCACTCAGATGGTGTTTATTGCACCTGTTAGGTCGGTTTCACGCTCCCCCTCTTCTCTTCTTCTCTCTGCTTGATTTCCACTGAGTTTTACTGCCCTCCACCCACCCCTGTGCTCATTGGTCAGTTCCAGTAGCAAGTGCATGTGGCCTTTGTTTTCCATTCTTTAGATACTTCACTCAGG